TAATCTATTAGCCTTCTCTTTGCTAGAAGGTGATTCTCATCTAAGGGAGTTTATACATCCATTTCATCTTGTTGCCTCCTATTTTTATACCTGCAACCTCAACTGGAACTCATTAGTAGCCAGTCCTGAACCAGGATCACTCTACAGTATTAGATATGCTTCTTAATCCCTGTCTGTAGTGGTGGGGAGGGGGAGAGCACTTGACTTCAGTCTTAGTGACATATCCTGGAGATTTCATGGATCAAGTATTAATATTTCCTTGAAATGTGTAAATATTACAGCTGACGAGTTCCCAGCTCAAAAAGTGTTGCATTCCATATGGGGGAAAGAATAGCCATGAGAATGATTAAAGGATTGGAGAATATGCCTTATAGTGGAAGACTTAAGATAAATAAATTGAGCTCCTTATCAAACAAAAGGTTGAGGAGTGACTTGATCACAGTTCATAAATACCGAAATGGGGTACAGAAGTTTGATAAGAGGGTTCTTACTCTAGCTGGCAAAGATCCGATGGCTGTAAGATGAAGCCAGGCAAATTCAGATTAAAAGTAAGGTACATATTTTTAAACAATGAGGATAATTTTAATCACTGGAACCATTTCCCAAGGTTAGAAATTTTTAAAGCAAGAATTTTTCCCCTAAAAAGTTGTGCTCTGGTTCAAGCAGTTATTGAACCTAAAGCAGGGGTATACAACAAAGTCCTATGGCTTGTATTAAGGAGGAGGTGTAACTAAACCAGTGGTTCTGAACTAAAGCTTGGGACCTCATATTGGATTGTGACACCGTTTTAATGGTGTCAAAAGTGCTATTGTTAGACTTGCTGAGATCAACACCCCAGGGCTTCAGCTCTGAGTGGTGAGGCTCAGGTTAAAGGCCCCCTCAGCCAGGGTTGAAACCTTTGGTTTTTTGGAATGTCCGCCTTCTCCCTCCTCCCCCACACTCCAGTCAGGTGGTGAGGCTTGTTTGGGCTCAGGGTTTGGTCCCCACTCTTGGGGTTCTTCTTCGAGTGGTTGCTCATGTCCATTCGAATTGGGTGTGCGCACCGCGTGCACCACGTCTTCCGGAGCGTTTTCCCTAGCGGTACCCGTAGCGCCGGCAGGGCGCCCCCTGGAGTGGCGCCGCCATGGCGGGGCATAAGTACCCCTGCCGGTGCTGCCCCACCTCAGTTCCTTCTTACCGCCCGTGACAGTCGTTGGAGCGTGTCTCTCTCTTAGATTAGTTAATGGATCGCATTTTTCTTAGCTTTGTAAATAGTTCAATTAGTTAAGTAGTTAGTGTCTACTTCGTTCTTTGTTCTTTCTCCCCCTTTGGAGGTGAGGAATGCCAGGGCCGCAAGGCTTCAAGGCGTGCGCTGTCTGCGCAAAGTTCATGCCCAAAGGAGACCCACACGACAGCTGTCTGAAGTGTCTGGGTGAGAGCCATCTTACGGACACCTGTAAGATCTGTAAGTCTTTCAAGCCGCGCACTAAAAGGGAGAGAGTCTCTCGCCTAAAGATTTACAGCCGGCACCGGCTGGGCACTCTGCGGTGCACAGTGCACCGGCGTCCATGCGGGATACTCCGTCTCGGGCCTGGGCCTCGGCGTCAAGGACCCGGCACCGGTCTCACTCTCCAGCATCGAAGAGGTTGAAACCCGGCACCGGTCTCACTCTCTGGCATCGAAGAGGGTGAGAAAGTCTCGCGGGAGGTCCCCGTCTCAGAAGATCATGCCGGCCCTGCACCGTGGTGCCGACTCACTGGTGCACACATCCTCTGTGGTGCGGCGTAAGCGAGCGGAACACCCCTCTAGTCCAGGGCAATTGCCCCTGCACCGCCCGTCCACACCAGACACATTTGAGGCGGCGCAGGACCTCATTAGTCTCACCACCTCCCCTCCGTCGTCAGTTGAGGCGGAAGGGTTGAGGTCGCCTACGCCAGAGGCTGTGTTAGCTCTGGCTTCGCCTCCGCACCGCCATGACCGGCAGGCTCATGCCACTTATGTGATGGGACCGTCCGCGGTGGGACCAGTACCGCTTGCCTCGATGCCATTCTCGATGCCGGCTCCTAAGCCTCACCCAGCACCCGACTGGGTTCGGCTGGGCACCCTGCGGTGCACAATGCACCGGCGTCCATGCGGGATACTCCGTCTCGGGCCTGGGCCTCGGCGTCAAGGACCCGGCACCGGTCTCACTCTCCAGCATCGAAGAGGTTGAAAAAGTCTCGCGGGAGGTCCCCGTCTCGGAAAACCACGTCGGGTCTGCACCATAGTGCCGACTCACCGGTGCACACATCCTCTATGGTGCGGTGTAAGCAAGCGGAAGATCCTTCTAGTCCAGGGCAATTGCCCCTGCACCGCCCGTCCACACCAGACACATTTGAGGCGGCGCAGGACCTCATTAGTCTCACCACCTCCCCTCCGTCGTCAGTTGAGGCGGAAGGGTTGACCTCCGCCAGAGGCTGTGTTAGCTCTGGCTTCGCCTCCGCACCGCCATGACCGGCAGGCTCATGCCACTTATGTGATGGGACCGTCCGCGGTGGGACCAGTACCGCTTGCCTCGACGCAGTTCTCGATGCCGGCTCCTAAGCCTCACCCAGCACCCGACTGGGTTCGGCCTACCTTGGTGTTGGGATCTCTCCCGGCCCCCCTTTTGGCTGCACCGGTGCTGTACCATCTACCATCACCTTCGACACCGGCTCAGAGTACCTTTCCGGGACTGTGCCTCCAATCGTCGGCACCGGGCTCTTCAGCACCGACGCACATCTTGGCACCGGCACAAGCACCGGCACCAACCATGTGGACCTTGCCGGTGCCCCAGCCGACGGTGATGTCGACTTCTTCGGGGTTCGTCTCTGCACCGTCATGCTCCGCACCAGAGATGCAACAGACACCGGGACTGGGCCTCCCAGCACCGCTTTCAGTGCCAACACCGCTTTCGGCAGCGGGACTAGGTTCCCCGGTGAAGCAACAGCCATCGGTGCCACAGCATGCTACCGCTCCCTCGGTGTCGTAACAGCCTTCTGTTCTCCCAGTGCCGCAACAGCCACCTCCAACAGCACCAGCACCAATGCTGGCACGCCCCCATCATGCTCACGCGGGCAAGCCCGAGTCCATGGCCAGATTTGCCCCTCCGTCGGCTACAGTTCACTCCACATTGGCGCCTCTCTGGCCAGAGTCCGATTATTCGTCGGATTCCGATGCAACATCCCTCAGGTCGGGGTCCTCGGGAGCCTCTTCAGCCCATAGATCCCGTTCCCGGCACCGACGTGACCGTTCACAGGTGCAGCAGACTTAGCCACCTCATCCTCAGTGGCCTCTCTGTACACCGTTTGCTTATCACCAGTGGCAGGGGGCTGTGCCCCCCTCCGTGGCGTCGGGAAACTCGTGTCGCTGATCGCAACTATCGGCGTCGTTGTCGCGACCTCCTCCTTCCCCTCAGAGGCCGCCTATGTCGGACCTTGCGGCACAGGCACAGACCTCGGTGCCGGAGCCGTGTCTGCAGGCGGTAGCGTATGTCCAACCGGTACCGCACGTGGCCCCTGCGCTAGATCCGGCACCGACACAGGAGTCGTCGTCATCATCGTCTCCTGATGAAGCCCTGGCGGATCTTGCACCGGTGCTGCCTACATGGATGCCTGAGCGCATCAGGAGCTGCTCAGGCTTCTGGCTTCCAACCTCGGTGTCCCGGTGGAGCCAGTCATGGAGGACATGGACCTTATGATCCATATTCTTTCAGATGACGTGCCCGCCCGTTTGGCTTTGCCACTTAATAAAATGGTGGCAAAAATTACCAATGCCCTGTGGCAAACACTGGCGACCCTGACCCCTATCTTAAAGGGTGTCGAGAGGCGTTACTATGTTCCCCAGTTGGAGCACAAGCACTTGTACTCCCAGCCTGTCCCTCGGTCCTTGGTCGTCCAGGCAGTGGCCCAAAGGGAAAAACTCCCCCAGTCGGGACCATCCCAGAAAGCTAGGGAGCCCAAGCGCCTTGACTTAATGGGCCGAAAAGTGTACGCCACTGGTGGGGTGCAACTCCGCATCGCTAATCAGCAAGCGATGCTAAGTCGTTATGCTTTTAATACCTGGCAGGCCATAAATAAGTTCAAGGATAAGCTCCCTGCCGAGACCCGACAGGAATTTATGGCCATGTCCTCTGAGGGTAAGGCCATCGCCCGCACTGCCCTCCAGGCTTCCCTGGACGTGGTCGACTCTGCAGCCCGCACCATGGCATCAGGTGTGATGATGCGCCGTGGTGCCTGGCTGCAAGTGTCTGGAATACCTCCTGATGTCCAGTCTATTATCCAAGATCTGCCTTTCGACGGCAAGGCGTTATTCTCGGAGCATACGGACTCGAGGCTCCATACACTCAAGGACACGATGTCTATCCTTCGGTCCTTGGGGATCCACACACCGGCTCCTCAGCATTATCAGCTGCCCTACAGACAGCAGGGGAGACCGCAGTCCCAAGTCCCGTTTGGGGACAGGTTATTCCAGTTTGCTCAAGCTGGGCAAAAATCACAAACGACGCCTGGGTCCTAAACATAGTCAGGAGTGGCTATACCATCCCTTTTCTGGGCTCGCTCCCTTCCAACCCACCTTCCCTGTCCCTTTTCAGGGACACCTCTCATGAAGGCACCCTCCGCCAGGAGGTACTGGCGCTCCTCCAAAAGGGAGCGGTAGAGAGGGTTCCATCGCACCTGGAGGACAAGGGTTTTTACTCCTGATATTTCATTGTCCCGAAACCCAAGGGCGGGGTCCGTCCCATCCTAGATCTAAGGGACCTCAACAAGGCGGTCGTGAAATCCAAATTCAGAATGGTAACCCTGGCTTCTGTCATTCCGGTTCTACAGTTAGGAGACTGGTACGCCACTTTCGATCTCAGAGATGCTTACTTCCATGTGGCGATAAGACCCTGCCACAGGAGGTTCCTCCATTTCATAGTCTCCCGGTGCCACTTCCAATTTACTGTGCTCCCATTTGGCCTTTCTACAGCACCCAGGATTTTTACAAAATGCGTGGCAGTCATGGCGGCGTTCCTCCGCAAATCAGGGGTACAAGTGTTCCTGTACCTGGACAACTGGCTAATTCGTGGTCGTTCCTACGAACAAGTAGAGGCCCGCGTGTCCCTCACAAGGGCCCTCTTCGTAAGGCTGGGACTCGTGCTGAACGAGGAAAAGTCATCGTTGACCACCTCTCAGCACCTCGAATTTGTGGGTGCCCTCCTGGATTCCAGGTTGGCGAGGGCGCTTCTCCCCAGGGCCAGGTTCCTGGCCATAGTGGAGCTAGTCTCCGAATTAACTCGGTCCCCTATCACGACCGCCTGGGTCTGCTCAAGGTTGCTGGGGCACATGGCGGCGTGCACGTACGTGGTACGCCATGCTCAAATGAGACTCAGACCTCTGCAGGCTTGGTTGGCAAGGGCATTCAACCAATCCAGGGGCCTCTGGGGCACGGTTCTTACGGTGCCCCCGGAGGTAATAGTTTCGTTGCAATGGTGGACTCAGGAGTCTGTGGTGTGTAGCGGGATCTCCTTCTCCATACCTCCCCCCTCGCTCACTCTGGTCACAGATGCCTCGGACCTGGGTTGGGTAGCACACCTGGGGTGCCACAGGACCCAGGGTCTTTGGTCCCCTTCAGAGCGCACACTGCACATACATGTACGGGAGCTCAGGGCAGTCAGGAGAGCGTGCGAGACCTTTCTGTCGAAGCTCTCTCGCCGCTCCATCCTAGTCTGCCTGGGCAACACGGCAGCTGTATTTTACATCAATAGGCAAGGGGGTGCCCGGTCCCCTCCCCTCTGTCGTGAGGCCCGGCGCCTCTGGGACCTGTGTGTACAGCACAACATAGCTTTGCAGGCAGAGTACCTGCCGGGGTGCAAAAATCTGCTGGCCGATGCTCTGAGCAGGTCCTTCGGAGCCCATGACTGGTCTCTCAAGGACTCGGTTCTTCGTCAGTTCTTCCGCAGGTGGGGCTATCCCTGACTAGACCTGTTTGCCTCGGCACTCAATACCAAGTGCCAGAGTTATTGCTCTCTGCTGGGTCTTGGGGAACACTCCTGGGGGGATGCCATGATGGTGACATGGCTGGCGGGCATCCTTTATGCTTTCCCTCTGTTTCCCCTAATTCCCAGGGTCCTGACCAGGGACAGGACCTTCGGGTCCACACTCGTCCTGATAGCCCCCCGCTGGCCCAGGCAATTCTGGTTCCCTATACTGGTGGACATGCTCGCCAAGGAGCCTATAACGCTCCCGCCAGCCCGGGATCTCTTGACCCAACCGTGGGACGGGGGGACCACGGTTCACCTGAAACTCAAGTCTCTACACCTAACGGCCTGGTTTATTCATGGTTGACTCAACCGGAAAGGGAATGTTCCCAGATGGTGCTCCTAAGTTGTAGAAAAACATCTACCAGACGGTTGTACGCTGCCAAGTGGCGGCGCTTCTCGTCTTGGGCGTCCTGAAGGGGAGTGCACCCGTCCTGTGCATCTGTCCCGTCCATTCTGGACTACCTTTTTGAACTTAGGTCCAGTGGCCTCTCTACCTCCTCTATCAAAGTCCATGTGGCATCTCTCTCCGCCTTCCAT